TCACCAGACTGAGAGTGTTTTTCCTTCCCTTGGTTACACTTGTGTTCATACGTCCTGTAGTCTGCAAATACTCACCTGCAGTGCTGGCGTGGATGTTTTAGCGATTTGGCAAGCCAGGCTGGGGCAGGAGACCTCCAGCTCACGACAGGAGAATGAGGGAGCCTGAAAACTCCTCCAGCACAGACCTGGTAACAGAATCACAGATCCTAGTATGGTGGGGGTTGGAAGGGACCTCTGGGGATCATCTTGTTCAACCCCCCTGCTTGAGCAGGGTGGTCAGGCAGCCTGCTCCAAGGCTCTGGCATCCTCACAGAAAAGAAGCTTTTTCTTCACATTCAGATGGAACCTCCCGTGTTCCCCTTGCCATGTCACTGGGCACCACTGACAAGAGCCTGGCCCCAGCCTCTCGCCCCCTGGGGGCCCTTTAGCTGTTGATCAGCACTGATCAGATCCCCACTGAGTCTTCTCTTCTCCAGGCCCAACAGCCCCAGGGCTCTCAGCCTTTCCAGGGCACAGAGATGCTCTAAGGCCCCTCAGCATCTTTGGAGCCTCCACTGGACTCTCCAGTAGTTCCTTGTCTCTCTTGAACTGGGTAGCCCTGGAGAGGTGGCCTCCCTAGGGCAGAATTAGAGAGTGGGAGGAGAAACTCCCTTGACCTGCTGGCTACACTCTTCTGTATGCACCCCAAGGGGCCAAGAAACCCAGCGCTCTTCAAAATCTCCCAGCTCCCTGCAGGGCCAGGTGGAGGGGCTGGAACTTTTAGCAGCTGCAGCCAAGATGGAACCTTGTCAGTTTGTCCTTTGACCATAGTCACTGGCCTGTGAAAGGGGAGTTTTGCGAGCGCAGACAAATCAGCTTAGCTGGCTCCAGCTGAGTGTGACAATACAGCCCCCAACCCAGAGCCTGCTGCTAATTGCATTGGGGAAATTGTAGAACATGTTACATCTTCCACTGCTTTTGTCTGGCTGGCTGTGGAAAAATGGCAAATGTGGCCTGGGTCACCCGAGGTCACACTTTTGGGCACTGATAGAATGGGAGAAAAAGACCATGTTGATTTAGTTACAGTCTCTAGAGTGAAACGAGCAGGACCGGTGGGACCCTAAAGTGCCAGACCTGTGTGTGGCCACCAAGTGCTGTCAGCAGGACTGTGGATCTGCGTGTTCAGGAAAGTCGTCATGAGGTTTGGAGCTGGATCTTCGTGCACAGACACCAAAGTCCAGCTGGTGGCAGGACCAAAGCCCTTGCATTGTACCCTGGTAATTTTTTTTTCCCCCTTATAATAATGGTTTTTTGTTTTTAATTTAGTAACTTTGAGAAATCCTCTGGGAGCTGCGGGTTTTATTTTTTCCCTACTGCCTATGGGCAGAACATTCCCAGGCAGTGCTGGTTTCAGTGAGGAGCGGCCGAGGCCTCGGCAGAGCGGTTGGTGCCACGCTGTCAGCTCCTCGCACAGCTGCACCAAGGGCTCGCTTTGCCAAAAAGTGCCTCATCAGCAGTCAGGGGCAGGACCCTGCATGCCACAGGGTCCTTTGCATGTCTCTTCTGCTTTATGGTCCACTACCTCCCTCAGAACTGGAGCACCAAGCAAAGAGGTGGCGTGTCGCCTCTTACTATCGTGCTGCTGTGCAAAGCGTGACGGCGCCGGAGGGAAACATGGGTCTGAAACAAACTGTAAGGCAGGTGGGCGTGCAGGGTAGGAGGTGTGACAGGGTGACACCCTGGGACCTGGGGCTCCCAGCCCGTGTTTGTGCTCATCTCCTACCCTCGGGGCAGCTCTAAGGCCCCAGCTACTCCATAGTGCTTATTAATTAATGAGGCTGTTAAAAACTATGCCGTTTTTTTTTTTTGGAAGTGACTCCAACCTAATGGCTGAGGAAAGAGGCATCATTCAGACATGCTTCTGATTCACCCCAAATTGTCCCCCTCTGAGCTCAGCTGCTTGATTTAGCTGGGCCTTCATCTAGATTTAATAAATATTCAAGTCTCTTTGTTCTTCTGAAATGCTTCACTTCTCATTTTAGCAATCTTTGTGCCCATTCAGTTAAATAATAGTTCTGCCACTTAAAAAAAAAAAAGTTTTCAGTACCACTTAGGGCCAAGCTGCTCACTTGTGAATAACCTATGGAGTTAATACTGAGATTTTAAAGATATTTATGGCTATTTGACACCTGCATTGTTTGTAGAGTTCAGGTATGGGGTTTCATCTGAGAAATCTGACTTGCTTCATTTTTCTCTGTCTGTGCAAGTCCTTAGTTTGCAACTTTTCTAGCTGGGTAGCTCTCAGATGTGACATTATTTTGCAAATGCCAATGTTTGAGTTAAAAATATCTTTTGTAGAACGTTTGTGGTGTTCCCCCAAGCAGCAATGTGTCTGTGATCAGCTCTTCTGGCAAGGCCGTTTGCTGCAGGATCTGCAAAGTGAAGTGCAAAAGGGGAAGGAAGGCGTGTAAAGCGTATCTGAGATTTGTTTTTTCCATGCATCAGTAGGAGTTATATAGTAGCCTCGCTTTAAATTCACTACAGCTTATTTAAATAAAGTGGTATGCAAAGTGATGGTGGATGTTTTAGTGGGTAGCTCTATCACAAAGATGTTTTTGAATTGGCAAGAAGAACCTTTTTTGGGAAATGAAATAAAAATGACTGTAAGTGTGATGGACTGTCAGTACACAGGCTATTTCAGTCAGGCTGGGGCCCTGCTCAGTCTCTAGTTCCAGGGAAACCCAAATTATAAAACAACACAAGACACATCTGAAAAATGCATCTTCTCACAGCTGTTATGAAGTTATGACAAGATGTGGGTCAGGCAGTGCCAGAGGCAATGCTTTCAGCTGGGCTGTTAACAGCTTCTCTCTTTGATGGCAAAATGGTACAGTTATTTTTTTAATCACTATTTCACATTTTATTCTTTGCTGTCAGGTGTTCACGTTCCTCAGTGCCATAAACCCTTACTTTACTTGCCATGAAATGCTTCCCCAAAGCCTTGAAGTCACTGAGAGCCAAATATTATCACATGCTACTTGGGGGTTTTTTAATTTTTTTTTTTTTAGGACTAGGACATATTTTATTTGAATAGATAAAATAAGTATCTACTACAATACAAGAAATCTCCACAGCAGCACCTGGAATATAGAGAAATTAAATATCCTTCTTGTAAATCTCTGCTCTTGTAGACCCAAATTATAAATTAAATAAATAAGAAAACCATAAATACACATTTCAAGATACAACAATTAGGTAAAAACATGAATTCTCTCCTTGTTGCCTCCATCCTCTACCGCTTAAAGCTACTAATTAACAAAGGAAATACTATGCTACAGCTTTCTCAACAGACAGAACTCTCACTGCCCTGGGCTGGGTGTTGGGTGCTCCAGGGGTCACGTTAGCTACGAGGGCAGGGACCACACATGCCCACTGTCTTAATTACCCCAAACGCAGCAATTGGACCTTTCCCAGTGCCTGCCCATCTTCTTTATTTTTGCTTTGTTTAGGGAATGAGACCAAAAAAGGAGAACTGGTGGTTGTTCTTCGCCCTACTCCTTGAGCACGTGTGCCATGTGAGAGAGCAGTCCCACTGAATTTACTACATTTACCTATATGCATAAAAACAGCACGTGCCTACAAGGCCAAGGCTTCTGGCAGGAATTCTATGGCCTGGGGGGTGGTGGGGTGTCTGGTGTGGCGGATGTTGTCTCTAAAAGATACTTCAGGAAAATCTTGGCCGTGGCTCCAGCTTGGTTCAGTCATGGAGGACCTGATGTTGGCACGGTCATTGTGTCCAGACTTACACAGGAGCAGTGTGTAATTTGAAGGTGGGACCCCTGTGAGAAAGCTGCTCTAGTGCTGTTCAGGTGTGCAGCCCTCAGCAGGCCACCACCACCTCTTCTCCTTGCCTTGCCAGCAGCAGGGGCTTTTCAGAGTGGGGGTGATGAGGAGCTCTGTTCTCCTTCTTTCTCAGGAGGAAGAAGGAAAAGCAGGAGAGAAAACCATCCCGCTGTTGGGCCTGGCCCTGGAAAGGACTTTTGCCTTTGGTAAAGAGGAGTGTGATTTCTAGCTGCAAGGATGTCCTCTGAGGTGTCGAGCACCTCTGAAGGAGAAGTCTGTGACTGAAGCAGTGGTGGACAGCTGAATGTGAGGACTGACAGACTTTTTTTGAAGGGTTTGTGCCTCTCCCCTCTTTGGCAGATGCTGCACTGAGTTGGCTCTGGCTGTATGAAAAGCCATCGTACCTTTTTATCATTCCTTCCCCATCCTGCTGCCTTGCCAGCACATCCAGCCCCACACAAATCATAGAATCATTTTGGTTGGAAGAGACCTTTAAAATCATGGAGTCCAACCATTAATCCAGCACTGCCAGGTCACCACTAACCCATGTCCCTCAGCACCACATCTCCACAGCTTTGAAACCTCTCCAGGGATGGGGACTCCACCACTGCCCTGGGCAGCCTGGGACTGGCCTGGACAACCCTTGCAAGGAAGAAATATCAAAACTGAAGAAAAAAAGATTAGCATATGTAATTCAACCAAGCATATCATAAGATGTGATTGTTATCTTGTGATGTGAGAGGAGGAAGAGGACAAGCAGTGGTGCATGTCAGGTAGAGCCCTGGGATTTAATGGCACTCTGCAGCTGACCTGTTACCTTGCAGGAATACACAAAGCTCTTGGCAGGCTTTTCCTGGTGCACGTCCGAGCTGACTGAGACAGGAAATGTGAGCTGTGAATGGGCCAGCTGTAGTTTCAGGATCACTGAGCTGAGACATAAATCTAGTGGCATACTTGGGATTTTAGTATATTGCAACAAAGAAAGGCCAGGGAGTTGCATCACAGTTACGTTTTTTCCCCTTGATTGGCCTTTCTCCCACTGCTCTGAGGCGATGGCATTGAGTAATGAAAGGGGTGTTTTCCTGGCTGAGCTCTGCTGTGTCTGTTCCCTCATCAGTCCTAGAGCACCTTGTCCTGGCTGGAGTACCTTCTGTTTTTCCAAGTGATGCTGAGCCTTATCAGTCCGACTCAAAGGCACTGTTTGTTGCCCCCAGGTACTCTGACTTCTTCTTGTGCTTCATCCACATCTTCCTCAGGAGGCTGGGTGTCCCATACAGGTTGCCTCCTGTCAGTGGTAGGGAAGCTTCTGCTCCGGGTGGCAGGGTCAGGTCATACTCTGATGTCTTTCTCCAGCACTGCCTGTGGCTAGCAAATAAAGCACAGGCTGGTTTGGGTGGGAAGAGACCATTAAAGGTCATCTGGTCCACCCCCCCCTGCAGGGAGCAGGGACATCTGCAGCTAGAGCAGGTTGCTCAGAGCCTGGTCCAACCTGACCTGGAATGGTTCCAGGGATGGGGCATCGACCACCTCTCTGGGCAGCCTGGACCAGTGTCTTACCACCCTCAGTGTCAAAAATTTCTTCTAGTCTGAATTTCCCCTCTTTTAGTTTAAAACCATTGCCCTTGTCCTTTCAGGGAGTTGTTGAAAGTGAGGTCTCCCCTGAGCCTCCTTTTCCTCAGGCTCAACACCCCCAGATCCCTTGGCTGCTCCTCTCCAGTCTTGGGCTCTAGACCCTTCCCCAGCTTCATTGCCCTTCTCTGGACATGTTCAAGCCCCTCAAGGGCTTTTGTGGTGTGAGTGGCCCAAAAGCGAACCCAGAACTCAAGGTGGGGCCTCCCCAGTGCTGAGTCCAGGGGGACGATCTCTGCCTTGGTCCTGCTGGCCACACTATTCCTAAATATACACCCTAAAATGATGAGTGGCCGTGGCTGGTGATGCTCCACCCCGTCCTCCCGCCGCTGTCTCCCTGCCTTCAAGGCCAGCAGCATGGCTTTCCTGTCAGCCACCGAGCTCCTGCAGCTCCCATCCAGGGGTCAGCTGCAGAGCACTTGGTGTTTCTGGTGAGAGGGTGACCAGTGCTGGAGGTACCCCGCCCCCTCCCCTGCCTGGCAGCCCCCCGGGCTCGGCTGCAGGGCTAGGAAGGGACTTACTCTTCTGCAGAAGCCCTGTTGCCCACGGGCAAGCCTGTGGCCTCCGGCGCGCTCGCCGTGCGGTGGGCAGCCGGCGGTGGAGGGCCCTGCAGGGGGAGAGGTGTGGGGTTAGCCACTGCTGCCTTCACGGGGACGTGCTGGCAGCTACTGGGGTTTAAGGTGCATCAGACAGCAGGAGTTGGTCTTGTTGCATTTACTTACGAAAGATTTTCCATCCAAGAGGTGATTACAGGATTGGAATGACTCTCGTTCAGGAATTCCCACTGCAAAGCGTAAGAAACATGGTAGTTATCCCTTGGCACAGCTTGGACCAAGAACCTCCTTCCATGCTGTTAAACCTGGCTACGAACAGGGCCCAGACTCAGGTTGTAGTCCCACTAGGTTTGATCATAGCCAAAATTTGCAGAAGTTTCTTTGTTATAATCATCTACTGCAATGTCAAAATAAATTACTTTGGAATTGTTTAAGGCATTCTGGAAAGTCACTCCACTGCTTGCTCCTAGGCTTTTGAAATGAGGTGATGAACTCTCTTTAGAAGATCAAGCTGAGCGGGAGCCCTTCCCCTCTTCCAGCACTGATTTTGTGTGTGTCTATACAGAGAGCAGTCCCAGCTGCTGCAGTTTTGGGGGAACAGTTTTTGTGCATCTTGGAGCCCTCGTTCCAGGTTTGTCTTGCCTGGGTGGTCATTCTCCTCTCTGGATTATCCATACCTGGGCAGCGACATGTGCTACATCCACCCTGTCACGGGGGGGGCTTTCAACCTTTCTGCCTGCTTTCTGTTCCTGGCAACTTTCACTTGTCTGCTGTTTTTAAGAAGGATATCCAGGTAAATGAAGAGCAAGGATGCCAGGATTCACTGAGACAGAGGATGGAACGTGACTTGCAGCTGCTGTGACCCATGGAATGTAAGTGATGACAGCAAACATCGGCAAGAGCCAAGGTGCTGCCTACAGTGCTGTGTCCTGCATGAGTTAGCAGTCTGCACTGTCTTCTCCTTCTGGGGGCAATATTTCACCACGATGAATGCTGTAACCAGCCTCTCACTTCCTGCTCCCTGCCCTGCCGCCAGTAATTCCATCAGGGACCTCACTGCAGCCCTCACATCAAAGCCTAATTCAATTCCCTCCTCTCATCTTGCATGTCAGGTACTAACAGCATCCAGCAAGTGGCTCCAGGCATCCGTGCTATAGCTGATGTCCATTTTTTTTCACTTTGTTTTTGTTTTGCTCTTGTCTGACTCTTCCCTTCAGTCTGTCTCTCTTCTTATTAGATAAAGAAAATGTTCTGGCAAACTTATAGCAAACTATCTAAGCAAAAGCAAGTCCTCATGGCTTCACACCCATACCTGCCACTTAGGACAACGGTGCCTGGGGGTGGTGTGAATTCCACTTCCAGAAGGTGCTATGGATGCCTGAGCCTAGGAGAAGGGTTGCTCCACATCTGTTATTCTGACTTACCTAACGTTCCCAAGATGAGTGCTTGTACAAAAACTTGGTACAAATCCGAGTACTTCTTTCCTGGAGAATAAGTGCTTTTTTTAAAAACCAAACCTATCCATTCTGTGAAGCAAAGGACAGCTTTGAGTTTCTTGTTCTGGCCTTTCACAACACCTAATTGCACTGGACTGTCCTCGTGCTTTGGTTTGTGTGGGGGGTTTCTGATGCTGGTAAGAGGTGTGCTGATGCTCTCATCCATGCTCTGGTCTACAGTTCTCACTTCCTCTGAAAGCTGAACTGCTCACTCTGTGACCCAGATTTCAACTTGTGCTTGACCAAATCTGAAGTTTATTTAATACTTGTCTATGGAGCAAGCGTGGAAAACTCTACAGACACAACCCTTTCCAGCAAGAAAGCTGAAGAATGGCTTTGAAGGGTGAAATTAGTGTTGTGGTTTTGCATTTGTAAAGAGATTAATGAGAACAGATGATACATATTCATACATATACCTCACTTCATATCCCATTATGCTGGCTCTGGGCTCTCTCACAGCCCCATTCTCTGTGTAGGGCACAGTGTGGACTGAGCCCAGACACATCATAGCAAAGAGCTGTTGTTATTTTCATGCAAATTTTTGCAAACACTTCTACTTTCCTCCCCTTTAAAATCCTAAACCTGTAAAGTCAGGCAGTCAAAAGTTATGAAACACCAGAACTGGACCAAAGTTGTTTCATCCTCTACAAGGATCTAGCCCTTGGAATTCAGTCTTTAATTTGTGACCAGAAACCACTTTTCCAAAGACTTTCTGCTTCACTCCTACAGACTGGTCACTCACAAAGCAGCTGTTCATCTGTAGCTTTTATTTCCCAGTGCACAGTCCTGTACTTACCTTCCCCATCAGAGAATCCCCTGAGGACAGCACTATTCATATTTTCACTGGTTCTTCTGTATTGCTGATCACTGTGGTCATCATCTGCACAAATGTTTTTAAAAAATGGCTTCATCACCTCCTGGAGGATGAGGGGTTATGTGCTTTTGCCTTGTCCAGATGCTCCTGGTGAGTTTGTCCTGTCCTGTTCTCCTTGCTCCTCAGTCACTCCTTTTTCTTTCATTTTCTGTTCTAATTTAAGCTTAGTTTCTCCCTTTTTCCCATTCACCATCACAGTTTCTTTGCCAAATCACTTTCCTTTCTCCCTCTCTGAGAACTGTCACCTTTTCCTCCTCTTCTTTTCAGCTTCCTACATCTTTTCTCTTATTCTTCTTCCAAACATAACACACCACCACTGAGGGAGCTGAATGAGCAGTCTATTGGTGTTTACTCATTGCCTTGGTTTTGCATTGGCAAACTGTTTTTCCTTCAGGGGATTCTCACAAATCTGCTGGAGGAGTTTTTGTTGACAAAACAAAATCAGGTCTGTGGCTGACATCCACAGATAAGTATGTTTCATCACAAATAAGTATGTTTTGGTTCTGAATATCTTACATAATAAGATGATTCAGGCAAGCTTGGTAATTTGCAATCTATCATCTCTAAACTACTGTCAGCCTTTGGAAAGGAGGGAGCATTTCTGACTCTGAATAAGGTGAGTGCTCTGCAATGCCACAGCTGTTATTCACTCCACTGGACACGTTAAGCATGGAAGCACCCTTCAGTTCCATGACCAAGCACCTGCTTCACTGCAGGCTGGCAGAACTGCACTATCTACAGATGTTGTGAAGCCACAGAGGAACACGGCCTCTTCTGCAGCCTTACCCTTGGTGGGGTAGGGTCCCCGCTGCCCACCCTGCAGGCGGCCCAAGCCTCGCACCTCCTCTTCCCTGTAGAGCACCTGGAGGAGGTCACCCTGCTGGGGCCGTGGCTTCTCTGCCTGGTGGGGCCGATGGTCCGGCACGGCTGCGACCTGCAGGGAAGAGACAAAGCCCCCCTGTTACACCCAGCCTTGGAGATGAGGTGGCCCCTCGAGGTCAGGAGGGAGCAGTGTGGTGCTTGCTCTTCCCGCTGCTTTACTGTCACCCAAAGGGGGTTTGGTCAGCTGAGGACTGTGGGATTTGTGGGGTTTGTTTTGTTCAGCTCCTGCCTCTGTGCGTGAGATGGATGAAAGTATGGAAAAATCCAGTGTGGTTTCTCTGGGACCCAGATATTCATTGCACCTTTTCCATATTCTCCTCAGGAGACTAAAATGTGGTCCTTTTCAAGACCTACTGCATGGGATATGCCTTTGAGACAGCTCAAATCTAATTTCTTATTGCATCCTGTCTTGGGCAATTGGTGAAACTTACAGGATGTGAATTGCAAACGTTATTTCTTCATGGCCTCTCCCATCTTTTGGACTCATTTGAATTTTATACTTGGTAAAGGACTACAGAGGATACAAGGCTGTGAATCAGGGATGGGCTGATGGTGGATGTAGCAGGGCTGTTATCCAGGATGGGCAGGAAACAATCTTAAGAAGAATAAAGTCCCAACAACAGGGAAAAAGCACTTCATACTTTGGCTTCCTGCCCCCCCCACTACTTGATAACTGTTTTTTTTTTGTTTTTTTTTTTTTTTTTTTTCAAAAACAGGAAAAAAATAAAAACCCCAACCTGGCAACTTTAAACTCTTTTAGCTCCAGGTACCCTCAGGAGCCTGTAGAAGGTTATTTTGACCTGGATCCTACTGACCAGGAGGACAATGAGCAGAAACTGCCCAACAGCAGGCAAAAACACTGCTGGAAAGGGCTGGTGAGGCAACCAAAGCCTAATCCAAGACCTAAGAGGGGTTTTCTCTTAGATCTGTGGATTTTGGCTCACAGCCTAACACAGTCCTTGCTCTGTAAGCTACTTAAGCATGTGCCCACTGTTAAGTTAAAGTCAAAGGGACTACTGGTGTCCTTGAAGACAAGCACGTGCTGGGGCCCAGCTCTACTGACCACGTATCTGGCCGGACAGCGCTGAGCCTCAGCGTCGCTCCAGTCACTCAGAAGTGAGGGTGATACTGATGGTGAGAGGCTGCTTGCTGCCTGAGCAGTTGGCCTTGGCTGTCTCCCAGCTACCCCTGGACCAGTTCCAGGACCCTTTATCCCTGTGCAGCAGCTCCTTACAGGCTGCAGGCTCCTGTGTCCTCGTGTGAACCAAGATCTTCTGGCTTTCAAGGAACACCCCAAAGCTCAGTTTTCCCAGCACCTCTGGAAATGCGCTCAGGGCTCTTGGTCACACTCAGTCTTTGGTGTTTCACAGAAGATGTCACCAACCCTCTGCTACTGAGACATTTGAGGTCACTTCCTTTACATGGTCATCAAAAGAGCATTTTTGGTGAGTAAGTTGCTGGCTGCAGTTGTCTCTAATCCTGAAAGTGGCTTATTTGATCAGTGTAAACCACCACAGACTTGAAACTTAACAACCTGCTTATGCATTGCAAAGGATGAAATAGAGTTTTGGGAAAGGAAGCAAGATTTTTAACTCCATTAGCAGCAGGTATTATT